AAATAGGGTGAATACATCTCATTACACTGATTTACTGGTAGTCTCGAAACCCTACTTTCATACGAATGTTAGAAAAAAAGAGATTGGACCTTGTAGATGTAGGCTCATGAATGCTTGGGCTGCTTCGATGAGTGCCCAGTGGCAGGACAGACAACCACCCTATTAGTAGCACTTACGGACGGACATCGAAGGAGTTGCACTCGCCTTGGTGTGTTTTGAGCTGGCAACATCGACAGCCATTTAAATGAGGTGTTGCAAGAAAATATAGCGACACTACCAAGTGAGATGAGCAATTGTCCACGAAAAGTATGGTAGTGGCGAATCGATATTGATATGGAGCAGACTTCGATACTACCGGTGGATCAGCCTGGATCAGCATAGATCAGACATACGGGGATGAAGGTGTGAAAAATCAACTTTCCCACGATGACATAAGCAGACTCCACTGTGCGTTGCCTTAGAAAGAAGTGCCCTCGCCCAGGTCTAGCCTGCATCTCGAGCGGGATTCGGTACCGGGTCTTGAGTATCCTATCGATGTTGCCACCACACGGCCACGATTGCCAGTTGGTCACAGGGCAGATGCGACATGTAAGGCGGGCCAGGCCTCTCCCGATTCCCATTCACACTACGCGAGTGCCGATTGGGCACACGCGCGCTTGCCATCGCGATCGAACATATTACTTAATTATGATGTAAGTAGTCTATTTTTTGAGACTGTCTGACTGAGTTCTTAGTTAGGAATAAGTAAGCCTCGTAAAAACCGCTTAAATCTCAAGTAAGTAAGGAGGTCGATTACAATTCTCATTACAATTGTTAAATGACCCTAGACCAAGAGGTTAGGACAAGTGGTTTCGTAACTTGACTAACATGCTTACAAACTCATATTTCATTATCTCAATCATACTTGCTTACGGACTTACGCAGTCTCGGTCAGGGCTGTCTTTGAGGTCATTAGGCGTTGATGATCAGAGCCTAACTTTAACCTTTTGATTTATGACCGGTATTGTGTATAGACGCTAACACAAACACGCATACACTCGAGCAAAAGTAGCAGTAGCCAAACCGGTCTATATGCATCTAGGTTTTTAATTTTAATTTTTAATTTTCTTTTGGCCCAACTGAGTCTATATAAGAGGCCTAGTGTTAACGAAAGCCTTTTACAAGAATGACACCCAGCTCTGATGATGCCCACCAAATGATGGACGAAAGCTCATCCCGTTTTCACCCGAAACGCGGGAGGAAGTCTTGTGAATATCGTGTAAAAGCCACTTTCATGCGAAATGAAGCTCCCCCTAACAATGTTACCTCAGAAGACTCATCGAAACCAAGTTTCTCTTCGTATCCCCTACGGAATGTCAGTTGGGAAAGTCCAGTTTGCCTTGAATATGACACCTGCCCTGTCAACCATTAGCGCCCGTCGTGCGATAGAAGCGTCGCCGTGGCGCTCAACCTTCACCCTTCGAATCACCTTAAACAGCCTAAGACGACTGAATTCTTACTCAAGCATGACTGGTTCACGTGAGCACTGGTCACGATAACAGGCAGCCTCGGAACTTCCATTCAGGCTGGATAAATCGCAGGTAACCCCAGCAAAAGGTCATTACTTTGGTATGCTCTCACTCCAACAGGTGAAATAAGCAATACTCGATCTGGACCCGATTGGGAAGGTTGGAGAAGAAAGATTGCCGTGCAGAGGCTGAAGGGATTTGAGAGGTGTACGTGGTTGTGTTTTGTAGTGGTGCCTATGCGGCTGGTATGCGCAGGACAGGCGACAACCGAGACGGTCGACTGCGGAGTGTTGCTATGCCTTGTCCCTGCTTTGCCGCGGCGCCAGCAGACTCGGCATTGACGACACAAGAGGATTGGGGACGGTTGCCTGGCTGTCGACGACGAGTCTTCAGCGCAGGCCCCCTTCGCACCGAGGTAGCATCGCGGTTGCCATGACGAACAAAGCACTGAGGCACGGAAAAGTGTGTTGCGCGTTGCAGCGAAGCCTAGCGACCGTGGTGCCGACGCGACCGACTAGACGGGGCGATTTGGCTCGGCTGAAATTGCGATTATGTGACACAAGCGCGGTGCTGGTGCCCTGTTGGCTTTGCGGTAGGCTACGCCCCCACAAATGCCTTCACCGCAAAACAAAAGAGTCGGGACGAAAATCGATCAAGTCAGTAGTTTGGGCTGTGAAGATCGGCTTTTGATTGGCGCCCGAAGCAGCAGACCGGCCTGGGTCCAAAGGGAGGCTTAGGTCCGACTGGAGGGGATGTGTTGCGTCGGGCGTGAGAGTGCAAATCAAAGCCGTCAAAGCCACACTGAAGTGTGTATGTGTGTGTGTATGTGTGTGTACGTGTTTGTGTGTGTCGACATAACCATAATAGAGGGCCAGCCTGTTGCATAGATTGGTACATTCTCTCTGAAGCCTCGAGGTTAGATGACGCGTAGGGGCAGCTAAAATTACAGGCTCGGGGGTAAACTGAAGCGCTGAATCATTGAATCACTGAATCACGCCTACTTGGCTTAACGCCACTCGAAATTGGTGCCTAAAGCCTAGACTCAAGCGCTCTTTTTCGCGGATTGTATTCAATATGCAATAGTGGTAGTAAAATAATAATAAATAGATGTAACTAATGCTAATGTAATAATTATGATTCAATTTAAAAGTTCCTCTCACCCCAGATCGCATGAAAGTGATTACTTTTCTCACTCCTGAAAAGTAGGATAATACCGTTTTGGAGGCTACGCTAAGCGAAATGCATTTCAAACATGAGACCTATCTGTATCACTGCGACGTAATACAACGTTCATTGACAATTGCAAATTTAAGAAACCTACTTTATATGGATATGAATGGGCGAAAGAGTTCGGAAGCGCCTGGAGCTCTGTCATTTCACGCATAGACTCTTGAATCAACTCTAAATGTATATCTTTGAACCTAATAAACAACTCCAATCATCATAATCATCATCATAATCATCATCATGTTAACATTATTATTGCCCCTATAAATCCTATTAACTAATAATATTAACAAATAGCCATAAATTACAACCCTAACAATAATGAATATGAAATAAATACTATTGGCTATAAATGCAAAAAAACGCAGTTTTTGAGTTTCTTGTTTTTCACACTTTCATGCCATACTTACTCCCAACTGACCCTGTCTATGCCCTTATCGGTGATCTGACCTATTACAG